TTTTACAAGGAACCGATAGTATGATCTGTTTGTTCGACACAACAAACCATACTATCTACAATGTAAAATAAAGGAGTTATGATTGTATAAATAAATAAACAGCAAACATAAATACTTTGACTAAAACATAATTGCCAGATCGAAATGGAATTGCTAGAATCTAAAAGCCAAGCTTTTACAGCATATCCTTACACGTCTGCCTAGCCCGTTCATGGGATCGTTCGAACAGACGACCACCTAGCTGAAAGCCTTAGTCATGGTGGATTTTGGACTCCCCGACAGCTCGAACGCTTTAACCTTCCACTAAGGTCAAATAGAAACACATCGAACACAACAAGATAAGAATAAATTCAAAAATATTTCTTAACCTCCATAATCGAGCTGATGGCATGAGAGTTTTTAGGCCAGCAAGTTGGGATGAGAGATTGCGAAGAATGAGAAAAGAAGTGCATAAGACTTATAAAAATGAAGAGTTGTTTTGGAAGCAGAAGGCTAGATTAAGGTGGCTTAGGGAGGAGGCAGGAATATTGGTTTTTTTTTAAGCTTGTGTTAGACAGAGAAGATATAGGAATAATTTAGAAAACCTAGTTATTCAGAATGGGGTTAGTTGCAAGGATATGAGCAGCCTTTTCAGTCAGATTTGTCTGGTTTTGATTAAGAGGTTCTTAGAGGAATGCCCAAATCTATCAAGGATGCTATGAATCAGAATCTCATTAGGCCAGTGCAAGAGAAGTTTGTGGGATATGGACCCTAATAAAGCACCAGGTATTGATGGTTTTTCTCCTCTTTTCTTTCAGACTGCCCGGAATGTTACTAAGAGTGATTTGTGTCTTGTTGTTATGTATTTTTATCAGTCTAGTTGTATCCAAAAGCCACAAACCACACTGACATAACTCTTACTCCGAAAGTAAAAAATCCAGAAAAAGTAATTGACTATAGGCCTATAAGTATTTGTACTATAACCTATAGGATTGTTGCTAAAATTCTGGCAAATAGGCTTCAGAGTGTGATTAGTTGTTGTGTATCTCAATCCCAATTAGCTTTTATGCCAGGTAGGCAAATTTTAGATAATGTAATCATAGCAAATGAATGTGTTCACTCCTTTAATAGTAGGAAAAAAGGAAAAAAGTGTTTCATGGCTTTGAAGTTAGATATGGAGAAAACCTATAATAAGTAGAGTGGGGTTTTTTATTAGAGTGTGTAGGCATATGGGTTTTTTCTGATACTTTTTTATCTTGGATTTGGGTTTCATAAGTACCTCCTCGTTTTCCTTCAATTCTAGTGGTTAGCCTATGGAAAACTTAGCGCTTTCTAAGGGTTTAAGACAGGGGGATCATGTGTCTCCCTAAACCAGGCTTTCTTTGTTTAAAGATTTCTAGGGATTTCTCAAATTTACTAAACCAGGCTTCTTTGTTTAAAGCTTTCAATGGTTTGCAAATATTTAAATACTTTCCTATTATATCTCATCTTATCTTTGCTGATGATGCTTTGATTTTCTGCCATGTTGATTCATATCATGCTAATCTTCTCATGGGTATTGTGAAAGACTATTGTGATGTCTCTGGGCATGCTGTAAATTATAACACGTATAGCATTTTCTTCCAAAGAACACTCAGGAGCAATCTAGGCATGAAATTTGTCAGATCATTGATGGAATAGTTGTGGCTAATCACTATAGGTACTTGGGACTTTCTCTGGGTATAGGTAGGTCAAAAAAGGATACTTTTTCTTTTGTAAAAGAGTGTGGTGTCAAAAGTTACAAACTAGAATAACAAGGTCCTCTGTGAGGCTGGGAGGGAAACATTACTCAAAACTGTGTTGTGTGCCCTTCTTATTGATGTGTTGTCTGTTTTCAGGATCCTTGTAGGTGTGTGTAATGATATCTATCAAACTATTTTGGTGGGGGGGAACAAAAGAAGGGGGGAAAAGATTCATTGGGCTAGGTGGAGTAGGTTAGCTCAGTTTAAGGAAGATGGGGGGTTGGGGCTTAGAGATTTAGGAGAGTTCAATGAATCTGTAATCCTTAAGAAACTCTTGAGGGTTTTAACAATGCCAAATGTGTTGATGAGCAGAGTTATGAGAGAGGTACTTCTATAATTAGAAGTTAATGAGTGTCAAGAAAAAAGATTCAGATTCTTGGATGTGGAAAAGTTGGCCTGAGGATAGAGGTTCTTTGAAATTACGGCTTAGATTCCAAGTGGGTAATGCGTCGTTAGTGGATATCTGGGATTCATCTTGGATCCCAGATTCACCTAATTTTGTTGTAGTTATTTGTACCGGAGTTAAATCGAAAGACTCAATCCCGGGGTCGTGTCTCAAGGAAGGTTAGTCGAATTATTTCGTACGTATATTCAATCACAAAAAGAGAAAACAAAACAAATCCTAAACACTCTAATTCAAGTTGTTGGGATTTTGATTATCAACTACTGATTCTTCAACGAAGCAATTTCAATCTCACAACACAAAGCACAATTCAAACAGTAATAAAAAGGCTAGGGTACCGGGAACAATCGCTTCCGGATCTAAATACATTTATCGGGCAATCAAGAACTCGGTTAAATGAGTCGAGAAATTATTCATCTAGAGATTTATCCTCAATAACTCTTCGTAACAAGAGAATAAACATAAATGAACAATTATCAAATCAATCAACACATAGGCAATACTATTACGAACAAACTTATTCTAAACGAGCCTAGATCGATCGATTTCTCCCCTTTCAGTTCTAAAATCGATTGACTAGATTAGGATGGTGATCAATAATCTAACCCTAGGATTAATACAACTTACAAAGATAGAGCAATCGACATACACGTAAACGAGCACGAACCGGAACAATTATCCCCTAACCCTAGCTAACGAATTTAGCTACTCATCATAAATTCAACATCTATATTCTCATCAAACAAAGTCATAACAATCATCAATGAAATGAAAAGAGAAGCTTACGATTAATGCGGAATTCAATGTTAAATCCCGATAGCAATCCAAATCCGAAAGATAAATGGAGTTTTTCACTCTCCAAAATCAAAAGCAAGTGAAAAGATAAGATAAATATGTTTTGAGGTGAAGAAATTCAAAAATTACAAGTCTGGAATGATGAAATAATACCCTAAGCTCGATCCTATACATTCCCAATTCGAAAATCCGCTAAAATCGCATACAAAGGTTAGCGACGCTAACCCCTTACGCCGCTAAGGGTAGAAAGCACCGAGCTGCTAGGGTCGTTATCGTCTATATCGTCGCTAGCTGCACAATGGTTAGCGGCGCTAAGGCATGGACAACTCTCGAATTTTGACTTTTTGGATTCGCGTGCTCTCGGCTAGCATCTCACGGGTCTGCCCGAGCTGGGAACTCGATCTCTGCATGTTTTGTCGCGCGAACCAACCTGGAACTCCTAGGAACCGGTAAAACCTGAAACCACCACAACTGGAAAAACACGAAAAACAAGAAAGATAGGAAGAAAAACAAAGAAAATACCAAACAAACCAAAATAAAGATAAAAATACATGAAACGACTAGACGGACTGAATACACCTAAGAAACGTCCTAAAACGGGGGAAAAGACACACAAAACACCAACAAAAATAACAACAAAAATGGGACAAACAAATTTCATAACACAGTGTCCTTTTGTGGTAGATAAGCAGAAACTATGCAAGGTGGCTGGTCTTATGGTTGCAGGAGACAAGAAGTGGGACAAGGACCTGGTGCTGCAATCTTTTAACCCAACAGATGCCAGTAACATTTTGAAGATCCATGTGAGTCAGTCGGGAGATAATATTTTTCTTTCAGTTTCTCAAATCTCAAGCTTTTTTTTTTGTTTTTTAAATGTTGGTATGATCTTCCTATTCAGGCTATCAAGTTCCATATGATTCTACCCATATGTTTTTTTTTTCATTTTTTTTATATTATTTGAATTTACTAAAATACCTCTGAACTTTTTAAAAATTTCAGGGGGGCCTAGTGTCCACCCTGGGCCCCCTACAGCTCCGTCTCTGATGGGATGGAGAAGAGTGTTGGTCTATCTTGAAGATGAGCATGTCGTGAAGAGTTTGAATGCTAGAGTTGCTCTTTCTTCATTTTTATATGTTGTGGTAGAAGACATTTACATTTTGTTTGGTTTGTTTAGTGTTTGTTTGTTTGGTGTGGTTTAGTGTTTTGTAGTAGGAGTTGGTTCTGTTTGGCCTTTATGGTCTCTTAGGTAAGGTCGATGCTACCCATGTGGGTAGTGCCCCCATGAGCTTTCTGACCACATATATTCATACACACACACACACCCATGTGGGTATATGTGAAATTTGTGGTCAAAAAGCCCATGGGGGTACTACCCACATGGGTAGCATGAAATCTACCGGTCTCTTAGGGGTTGTTTGGTTGGAGAAAAAAGGAAGGGAGGGGAGGAGAGGGGTAGAGCAGTTTTTATTTTTCCCTTGTTTGGTTGGGAATTTAGGATAGGAGGGGAAGGAAAATTTTAACTTAAAATTCCCTCTCCTCCCTAGTTTTGCTCCCCTCCAAAAGTGGGGGAATTTGGAAGAAGGAAAAATTTTAATGCATTAAATTACAATCTTACCCTTTTTATATAATACCTAAGTTTTTATTTATAACATCATTAAGGATATATTTGTCATTTTAACATTATTTTCTCTCCCCTTTCATTTTCTGACCAAACAAGGTTTACCATTTTTTCTCCCTTCCCCTCCAACAAATTCCCGCCAAATAAGGTAAAATTATTTTACATCACCTCCGCTCTGCTCCCCTCCCCTCCCCTCCCCTCCCTTTCCCTCCATTAAAATCCCTCCTCTCCTTTCCCCTCCATTGAACCAAACACACCCTTAGGGGAGTCCTTATGTGGACTCCCCCTTCTAAAGTCACTTCATTGTATGTTGTGGACCTTNTACTCAAAATAAAAATATCTCTTTTCCAATCATGACCAAATAAGACTTATCCACCAAATCCTCACAATAAGCAACTACCTCCGCCGCTCAGTTCATTCATCAATGGCCGCCTCCCCGAAGGTACAACTCCTCACAGCACTGATCTCCCTCTTCGTCCCCTTCCTCCTCTCCTGCTCAGCCACTGACATACACGATCTCCTCCCGAGGTACAACCTCCTGGAGGGCCTACTCTTGAGGGAGGTCGAATCTTACACCCTCTCCGACACCGACGATTCCTTCACGGTGGAGCTCAGTTCGAGCCCCTGCTACGTTAGATTCGGCGATCAACTTATCTATTACGATAACATCATTAGGGGAAAATTGGCGCGTGGGAAAGTGAGCGACGTATCGGGGATTCAGGCTAAGAAATTTTTCCTTTGGGTACCCGTGACCGGAATCGAAGTTGACGAGGAGAATCAGATGATCGATTTTCACGTCGGCGCTCTATCTCAAAAGCTCCCGGCTAAGGATTTTGTGGACATTAGAACCTGCAAGGCTACAGGGCTGCGAGAGTCCTATTTTGTTGAAGATTTGGGCCTTTTGGCGATCAGCCGATAGCGGATAGCGGATTGTATCAGCGGATAGCGGATAGCAGATTATATTAGCTAATTTGACCAACGGATTGCATTAGCGGTTTTAAATAAGTGTTTGGTAAATAGCTGAAAGCTTATAGCTGTTTGACATTGCAAAATGACCAATAAGGACATTTTATTATTTAGGGTGTATTCTTTTAATAATAATATATTAAAACATTTAATATTTTTTAGTTGGTAATTTATAAATATTTTTTTTTTAAAATTTACTAATACATGATGAAGAAGTTATGAATTTTATATTTTTCTAGATAAATTAATCATGTGGATGATATTTTATTATTTATTAGCACCATAAACCAATGTAGATTGTAAAATAAATAATACAAATTAAAAAGTTCTAAGTAAATGATTTCACGAGCATAATTACAAAGTTTTCAAGCGTTTGAAAGTACAAAAATTTCATAATCATGTCTATTCAAACAAATAATTCAAATGATCAAGCAGCACAATGACATCTAGGTTGTCTAGTTGCCATCAAACAAGCAGTAATATCATTTCGAACTTTTGTCATCTCTTTAGTGCTTGTGTTCGAGACCTCTTGCGGGGAAATATGGCCAACATCCGCTAACACTTCTGGAGGAATAAAATTTATATTTTTATCAATGATCATAAATGTTTGGTTAGGAATTTGGGATAGGAGGGGAAGGAAAATTTTAACTTCAAAAATTTCCTCTCCTCCCTAGTTTTGCTCCCCTCCAAAAGTGGGGGTATTTGGAAGGAGGAAAAATTCTAATGCATTAAATTACAATCTTACCCTTTTTATATAATACCTAAGTTTTTATTTATAACATCATTAAGGATATATTTGTCATTTTAACATTATTTTTTCTCCCCTTTCATTTTTTGACCAAACAAGGTTTACCATTTTTCCTCCCTTCCCCTCCAACAAAATCCCGCCAAATAAGGTAAAATTATTTTACATCACCTCCGCTCCCCTCCCCTCCCCTCCCCTCCCTTTCCCTCCATTAAAATCCCTCCTCTCCTTTCCCCTCCATTGAACCAAACACACCCTTAGGGGAGTCCTTATGTGGACTCCCCCTTCTAAAGTCACTTCATTGTATGTTGTGGACCTTGTGTGACCCGTTGGTTGCTCAGTCTATTTGTGCAATCGTATTTGATATTTGATTAAAAAAAAAAAACTATTTACTTAAAATAAAAATCTCTTTTCCAATCATGACCAAATAAGACTTATCCACCAAATCCTCACAATAAGCAACTACCTCCGCCTCTCAGTTCATTCATCAATGGCCGCCTCCCCGAAGGTACAACTCCTCACAGCACTGATCTCTCTCTTCGTCCCCTTCCTCCTCTCATGCTCAGCCACCGACATACACGATCTCCTCCCGAGGTACAACCTCCTGGAGGGCCTACTCTTGAGGGAGGTCGAATCTTACACCCTCTCCGACACCGACGATTCCTTCACGGTGGAGCTCAGTTCGAGCCCCTGCTATGTTAGATTCGGCGATCAACTTGTCTATTACGATAACATCATTAGGTGAAAATTGGCGCGTGGGAAAGTGAGCGACGTATCGGGGATTCAGGCAAAGAAATTTTTCCTTTGGGTACCCGTGACCGGAATCGAAGTTGACGAGGAGAATCAGATGATCGATTTTCACGTCGGCGCTCTATCTCAAAAGCTCCCGGCTAAGGATTTTGTGGACATTAGAACCTGCAAGGCTACAGGGCTGCAAGAGTCCTATTTTGTGAAGATTTGGGCCTTGTTTGGCGATCAGCCGATAGCGGGTAGCGGATTGTATCAGTGGATAGCAGATTATATTAGCTAATTTGACCAACGGATTGCATTAGCGGTTTTAAATAAGTGTTTGGTAAATAGCTGAAAGCTTATAGCTGTTTTTTTTTTTTTCCAACGGCATAAACATACTCATATAAAAGGCCAAAAGGCAACTTATAGCTGTTTGACATTGCAAAATGACCAATAAGGATATTTTATTATTTAAGGTGTATTCTTTTAATAATAATATATTAAAACATTTAATATTTTTTAGTTGGTAATTTATAAATATATTTTTTTTTAAATTTACTAACACATGATGAAGAAGTTATGAATTTTACATTTTTCTAGATAAATTAATCATGTGGATGATATATTATTATTTATTAGCACCATAAACCAATGTAGATTGTAAAATAAATAATATAAATTAAAAAGTTCCAAGTAAATGATTTCACGAGAATAATTACAAAGTTTTCAAGCGTTTGAAAGTACAAAAATTTCATAATCATGTCTATTCAAACAAATAATTCAAATGATCAAGCAGCACGACGACGACGCTATGTTGTCTAGTTGCCATCAAACAAGCAGTAATATCATTTCGAACTTTTGTCATCTCCTTAGTACTTGTGTTCGAGACCTCTTGCGGGGAAATATGGCCAACATCCGCGAACACTTCTGGAGGAATAAAATTTATATTTTTATCAATGATCATAAATGCTGGATCAGGAATTTTGCTCATTCTAATGTAATTATGCAATGCAAATGTTGAGCAAATTATTCTATTTTGATCTCGAGGTGAATATTTTGGTAATTTAACTAATATCTTCCAGCGCGCCTTTAAAATGCCAAAAGCTCTCTCAATACAACTCCGTAAAGATAAATGAGCTCGATTGAAAATTTCTTGAGACCCTCGTGGATTTGCACCCCGAAACTCTGATTGATGATATCTTGTCTTATGATAAGGTGTCATATACCCTTCTCTTTCAGGATAACCTTTGTCTGCTAATTAGTATTTACCTATGTATAAGAATATTGACAAACAATTTGTTAAGTTAAAATAGAAAAGGATACATTGTAATGGATAAAAAATTAAATGATACATTAATAAAAAAAAATTACCTGTAGGAGGTTTTGGGAAATTAAGGTCTGGATTGGTAATTGCATCCAGAAAAATTCGAGAATCATGAGCGGATCCTTCCCAACCAGTAAGAACATACGTAAAATGTAAATCAAAGTCACATGCTGCCATGAAACTGAGAGTAGTGGTCCCTTTCCTCCCTCTATATCGCAATTGATCCTCCTCGGGTATAATAACATCTATATGTGTACCATCAATAGCTCCAATGCAGTTCTAATAAAAAAAAATATCATTTTCTAGATGACTATTATTTATTTCTAATGTAAACGCAAAGATAACATGTAATAAGTAAAATACCTTAAAATGTGGCATATATCGAGTATCATTGGCAATTCGCAATGGGACTTCTTTGAACTCAGAATCCCTAGGTCTTATTATATCCCTTGACAAGCCATCCATGGAATCCAGAACTTCTTTAAAAATTCTACTTATAGTTTCACCAGAATGCTGAAATCTCTCTTGGGCTTCACGGTTTGAGGCTCCTATACTTAGAATAAATATAAATATTCTTACTTTCTCTAAAGTTGATGTTCTTTCTGAAGGGTGCAACCCATACTTACTTTCTAAGTCTATGACCAATGCTCTAAATGTGCTCCTGGACATTCGAAACATGTGAAAACAACGTTTTTCATGTCCATTCAATATTTCATGCATCCATTTTTCACCTGTCATAAATGAAGTAAAACATGGCTCTTTGTGTATGTACTTAGCATAATAGAGAGTGATATAACCCATCGCACAAGCCACTGAGTCATAAAACAAACTATCTCTATCCCTCTTACGTATTGCATTAGGTTTGGCCCTCAAATCCATACCTATAAACAACAATAAAAAAATAATTTACAATCTTGTATATGATCAAAACAACATACTCCATTTATAACAAAATTCAAAGTGCAACTTCCAAATAACAACATAGTTATCATTGCATTTAAAGTCTAACAAACGCAAGTAGCAACAAAGTTGAATAGACAAGAATATTCAATATGCTAGATATTAAATAGGTGTCCACTAAAAATACTGACAAGACAATAATAAAAATATTCACTCATTCTTCTCCGTCTTCGCATACAAAAGTTTTATCCATTGGAGTCTTGAGTAATCATCTGGTATGCCATTAAAAATTATCCTCTTTTGGGGATCTTCGATCAAGCTGCAAGCAAAACAAAATTCAGGGCTCCCAGGAATCAAGTCAGTCATGGACACTAACTTTGCAAGAGTGTCGGCAAGTGAATAACTTTACCATAGTATCAAGCCTCTGCCCCCTCTTCCTCTATAGTTGTTGGATCTGCCTCGGCCTCTTTGAGTTGGGAAATATCCTCTTTGGGTGGAGAAAGGAGATGGTGGTTTTTGAGTAGTTGAATGCTGAGAGGCCACATTCACTGTAGGGATAGAGCCATCTGAGTTGACTATGGACTATGTTGTGACATCCAACCTAGACTCAAGGCTGAGGAGCAAAGCATAGAGTTCATTCAAGGTATAAGGCTCCACTCTCGAGGTTACTGCAACCACAACAGGGTTATATTCACTCCCTAGGCCTGCAAGGATGTAGAGGATATGATTTTGTTCAGAAACAGGTTCACCAGCAACTCCTAGGGCATCACAACAAGCTTTGACTTTGCCCAAGAACTCTCTCATGTTGCTAGATCCTTTCTTCAATGTTTGTAGCTGGAGTTTGTGGTGCATAAGTCTGGCCTTGGACAGACCTGAGAAATTAGACTCCAGGGATAGCCACACATCACGAGATGTGTTCTTGCCAACCATCATTATGAGAAGATTTTCACTCAAGGAAGATAACAGCCATGACATAAGCAGTTGTTCTTGTCTCAGCCATGTGGCATATACAGGGTTTTGGGTGGGTTGGGATGTGTTTTCAGAGGAAATAAACCTCTGTGGTGGGGCACAATCATCAGCAATGAAAGTTTCCAAGCCATAGCCAACAATGGCACTGTAGGTTTGCTATTTCCACAGTAGGTAGTTGGCATCTGTAAGTTTGATAGAAATGAGTTGGTGTTGAGGGTGAATAAAAGAGGAGTTGTTGTTGACTACAGGGTTGTTGGGGTTGCTAGTGCTATCAGATGATGTGGTAGAGGCCATGATCTCGATAAGCCAGTGGATCTGAGGATGAAAAGATGGATCTGAGATTCAAAATGTATGCCAAACTGAGGTAAGTTCAAGATCTAAATAAAGTGGACTGAGGAAGGTATGAGGCTCGAGATCAATGCCAGATCTAGGCTCTTGATACCATGTTTGATAAAAAAGTAATCTAAAACATGTGACATGAAAGTGATAAGACATGAGAGCTCAAAATAGTTCATCCTTAAACTATCATGAAATGACAGAATGCTTTTTCTTCTCTATAAAGCTAGGGTTACAAATAAGGTAAGCTATTTATATTAATGAGCTTAAGATCCTACGGTCTACAATCCATCTCAACCTATCTTGCTATTATGCTTTTCTCTCTTTCCCACAGCTGCTTCTTTATGACTTGGCATTGACTCATGTTGACCTTCACTCTTCATGCATGTCACTTTATGCTGAGGTGGTCGATCTCCTTTGTCTGCTTGTGTTTTGTGCATGCAGCATGTATGAGCATGCTTTCCACATATGTTATCAGATAACAACGTCATTATATAGAAACGCGTAAAAAAATGACAAATTCACATAAGTATGCTCTAATGTATTAAAAATTAAAATATTATTTGTGAATAAAATAAAAAACAAATAAAACAATAGTAATGCAGTGGAAAAAAGAAAAAGTCTTGATTTTCTTAGAGAAGCATGAATGCCAATATTAGAAACAAAAGACTTTTTCAAATTACTACTTTTTTTGTTGCTAGCGTTTAAATACATTTACTCTGTTACGAAATTGGTTATCATAAATAATGATTCTATATTAGTAATTTTTAATTTTAAATAATTAAAAAATTATAAACTCTAATACATAGTGTGGATTTTAATAATGACTTTGTATTAATAAAGTACACAGATATCTAATAGTATCACATAACAGAATTCTAATTCATCTTCTCCATAATATTTTAGCAAATGATATGCTTTTCAATTTTGTATGTTTTGTTTTGTTTTGTTTTTTTTTTTTCCTGCAATGATATTTTTAATAAATTAATTTAATTTATCCAACTAAACTTAAGCAGCCAAAAATTAATCGATCAAAAACATTCACCACCACGTGCACTTTAATATATTTGAGTACAATATTAAAGAGAGAAATGTAATGATATATAATATAATATAAAGATAAAGAATTAATTGATAATAAATAATATAACAAAATAGGAGGAACACTATATACAAGTAGCAACAGAATTACGTAGCTCTAATTTTAATCGAATCACCTAAACACCAGTCCTAGAATAATACAACACCATCCAACGCAACATTCAAAGTCAAGAACCAATAATCGGAAGGGCCGTCGTCTGCATAATAAGGTATTTAAAACCGAGAGAAGGATTTCAAATAATCAAAAGGCCATAAGAAATACAACCCCAGCATCCGAACAAACAAAGATCTACCCACCACCACACATTGTAACTGCACAACCAACATCACCCTCAGACGGTGCTTCGGAAGACAAATATCCCTCCAAAATATACATACCACACGACAGCTAGACCCCCCATACTAAAAGCAACAAGCAAAATTATAACCAAAAAAGAAAAAAAATGAAATATTTTTACTAAAAAAATAACTGCAAATGCCGAGGCAAGCAAAAACATATAGTCGAGATCGTTCGTTAGTCCCACGCACTTGTCAAGGTAGAAGAAGCATAACCTCCACTGTTATTATTACTATTATTACCGTAAAAGTCCATTCCACCTCTGTTATCCTTCCGGAAGTCTCTGCCACCAAATCTTCCACCGGAGCCTCCTCCTCCACGGCGGCCCTTTCCGGCGAACGATGACCTGGCGGCAAAGCGTGAAAGCCAGGCAGGGACTTCCTGGTTTGCCTCTTGCATTAGGTCGGCCAGCGGCCTAGCCAAAGAGGAATTGTTGTCGTTGAAGAAAGCGGTGGCTAGGCCCGTTTTTCCGGCCCGGCCCGTACGGCCGATCCGGTGGACGTAATCATCGATATCGTTGGGGAGGTCAAAGTTGACGACGTGGGCCACGTGCGGGATGTCGAGCCCGCGGGCTGCAACGTCAGTCGCGACTAGGATTGGTGTTTTCCCACTTTTGAAGGATCTCAAAGCATATTCTCTCTCCTATAAGTCAGAGAGGAACTTAGTCAACTAATTTTGATCGTAGGGAATGATAAACAATTTAGAGAAATATTAAACTAAAACTAGTCCAAATGATGTAATGGAATGTGCTTAGAGCGTGCTTGGATACAAATATATCCGCTCAAAATGAGTGTATTTGGTTCATCAGAGTTGATTGAGAAAAGGTGGTATGGTTAGTTGTTAATTAGTGGGATTTTGAGTTTATATTAAAATAAATTTAAAATATAATAATTAAAGTTGATTTGATGTAAAAGTAGATGAGAGATGATGTGAAGTGTTGGTTAGTTAAATTTATGTGAGTAAATGAAAATGGATGTGATGTAGGAGATAGATGATTGATATTATTAATTATATTGATAATATTGAGGATAGTGGAGTTGAGTTAAAGTTGAGTTAGATTTTGAGTATGAATTGAGTATAGAATTGAAAAATTTGTAAACAAACACTCTTAATTTCTCAGTCACATACATGTTGGTAATTTACTCCTAAAGAACGCGTCAGTAGAAAATCTCATTTCATGAAACTTGTGGTCTAATGTATTAGCGAATATTGGATATTGTGGGAACAGTCGTGAACTTATGTCCTTTTCTTCTCATATTTGGTTAAATTCATGTCATCAGTTCAAAATGCATCTACACATCCACGAGTTTGTAAAAGTTCGTGCCCTTCAAAAAAATGCTATGAAGTAGACAAAACTAACCTGTTGTGTCCTGTCACCATGTATGGATGTAGCAGGAAACCCATTAACGCAGAGCCAGTGTTCAAGCGAATCTGCTCCCTTCTTTGTCTCGACAAAAACAAGAGTAAGAGCTTGCTGCAAATCAGACCACCAACGCAAAAATTTGAATTCAGCTATAGTGACACTCCATCACTTCTATACACCCAAACATATGAATATATAAAAGTTTATAGTATTCCGATCATACCTTAGCCTGAAGACCATTTGCTCTCTGTGCATGGAGAAGGTCCATCAGGTGACTTCTTTTGTCAGTCTCAAGCACATATTCAACCCTTTGTTCAATCAAGTCGGTACTAGATCCAACCCTTCCAACAGCCAGAAACACGTAATTTGATAGAAAATCAGCAGCCAGCCTCTGCACATAACAATAATGTAACAGAACATGACAAAATGATAATGGGAAGAAAAAGAAAATGGTAAATTTGTCTGGCCAATTTTCCAGGATGAAGTGACTTGAGAAATAAGACTGAAAGTTCTGCCCATGCAATTGCATATTTAAAACATAAGTGAATTTCTTTAAAACAACCTCGTGCAAATTATGCAATCATTCCTTATTAACGGAAGGCACTGACATTCAACTTTTAGGTCAAATCACACTTCCATATCAACTTGCCAAGTCATTATGCTAAAAACAAATGATATTAGTAGATCTCATGGAGTCTGTAAATTCAGAAATAAACCTGAATCTCCTTTGGAAATGTAGCGCTAAACAACAATGTCTGCCGTACACCAGCCGGAGGCATGTCCATCTGTTGCACAATTCTCCTTATTTGAGGCTCAAAACCCATGTCTAACATTCTATCTGCCTCATCTAGGGCTAAATACTTAATCATTTGCAATGAGACTCTGGCTCTTTCCAACAAATCCACTAACCGTCCGGGAGTTGCAACAAGTATGTCCACACCTCTTTCAAGTTCTCGAAGCTGTCAAAGAGCCAGTATCACAAGTAACAGCTAATATCTTGAGCAAGGCAGATAATATGTAATGCAGATAAAATGTAGGCAACAAACAGAATTTCTACATATTATGTACAAAAGACGCAACAGTTGAGGTTCTGGCAAGCAAATAAAATCAAGCATCATAGAGATTTACATGGGAGACATAGATTAAACTCAAAATTAATGAATACCAATAGCTGCATCATGGTTCCTTGTCATAAAAAACGTTTGGAACGTAACGTCCTGGGGAGCATGGGATGCTAAAATAAATTTTCTTGAGATTAAGGTACAGGAACAATGCCAACACAATATCAATCAGACGGTGAAATAATTTCTTCTGTGAGTGTAAAATGTTTCCTACAGAGCATGCAACACACTCTTAATTTTATATCAAAATAATTTATTTGAATAATTTAATTTGAGAGGGCATTAGAAATAAAAGTTGAGCCACACATGTTATCAAAAACTTTGTGGCAATATTAATCAATGCACTCAAAACTTATGATCAAGAGAATCTCCGGGTATACTGCGCACCATATAACTAAATTAAACTCACAAAAATGGGCAATTACACATTCTAAGTGAGTCCGTTTCTAGTTTTCAACACATAGTTGAGCACTTAGTGCTAATAATATTAATAGCAAAATCATCTAAAAGGTCTGGCATAAATGCAGAAAGATGCTCAAACCACCCTAACTAAAAATCCCACGCAGATGCAATGGAACTTTCACGTAGTTTCACAAACTGCATAAGATGAATCCTTTTATTTTAAAGATGTCTAAAGATAAACATACAAAAGTGATAGGGACGAGAATTCCAGATCAAACTGATATAAAAATGTGGGTTCGTCAGCAGGAATAATGCAACTAAAAAACCAACCCAATACAACAACAACAACATAGCCTTTTAGTCCCAAGCAAGTTGGGGTAGGCTAGAGATGAAAACCAACCCAATAAGTAAACAAAAGAGACCTGTAAATTGATAGGTGCACCACCATATGCAACAACCACCTTGACGCCAGTTTGATAAGCAAATTTCTTGGCTTCTTCATGGATCTGTATGACAATACCCATTAACGAATTTACATAACTGAGAGAGAAAGAGAGAACAATCAGCAGAGCTTAACACTAACTTACTTGCATTGAAAGCTCCCTAGTGGGAGAAAGAATGAGAGCAAACGGAAAAGCCATGCGCGGCATGCGCGGTGGCCTCGGCCCAGATTGACTGCTTTTCATGATCCCACTAATTACCGGGAAACAAAACGCCGCCGTCTTTCCAGAACCTGTCTGCGCACAGGCCATCAAGTCTCGCCCGGCAAGCGCGATTGGTATGGCATACCTCTGCACAGGAGTCGGCTTCACATACTTGCACCTCCGAATGTTTAGATTCAAAGCCTCACCGAGATCAATATCCGCAAACGTGTTCACCGGTGGCGGCACATCTCTCCCACTCGTCTCCACCGGAATATCCTCGTACGCGTCAAAATTGATCCCCGTGTTTTCCTGCTCACCAAATGCTGGTTCTGCATCGGCATCTTCTTGAAAAGGGTTAGCTTCTCTTTCTCTCCCACGATCCCAACTGCCGCCGCCTCTGTTATTCCAGCCGCCACTGCTGCCACCACCACCGGAACCTCCGTTTCTATCTTTCCAAACACCCACAGGATGAAAAGTACTGCCCATAGATGGAGCACCGGGGGCGTAAGGGTCATTTCCGTATGTGGCTCCGGCATAGGAAAGAGGAGCTGGCGAAGGGTCTGCTGAAGGAGGCTTGTTCCTGAGATGTGGCGGGACATAAGTTGAAGATCTGGAAGCACGAAAGTTGGCTCCGGAGCCTTCATTGGTAGGAGCCTTGTCGATTGCATCTGACCAAGAAGTAGGCATACTGGAAAAAGAAACAGAAAAATCCCGGAACTCTTCTCCTCAATCGAAATTTCCCTAAAATATCCTAAAGGCGAGACTTTGAGTCCAGGCACAGAAACTATTCAGCACTGCATAACCAACAAAAGTCCCAAAATTGTCGTCATCATCAATCAAATCTTTGATAAAAGACACTCAATCATGCATTTCTGAAGAGCCTCAGCATAAAAGCATTGGCAAAATCGCATAAACGTTAAAGGCCAATTCGAAATGCCACCCACAAGCAAACCTCTACATAAATTACCAAATATGAAAGTATACAACACGCAAATGCAGGAAAAATGAGACAGAAAGAGAATGCATCATGACATTACTTCCTAAAGGAAAATATATGAAAACAAGAGCACTTCATAGAATTCAATGATTCGATGTTGAAATCAGGTGGAAAAACTCAGGTACATACATAAATTCAGAGAGAGTAGGTAGGGGTGGAGGCATATACAATAAAAATGGAAGGTAGATAAGGACGAAACCCTAATTTTAGTTAGCGAGATGTGCGGTCGGTGGCGCTATTGGCGTAAAAATATCTTTGCGTTGCGTTCCTGTTGTTTTTTTGCTCTCTCTCTCCGGAAAAGTGTAACTAGCTTTCTCTCTCTACAGAATATCGCTCCTCGTATTTATAGTGCGACCATGTTTGCGTTTCTGCTTAATAACCGATGCTCCGAATATTTTGAGGGGCTCCATTCGTTTTCTCTTTCTTCTCACTCCGCTCTCTTTTTCCTTCCCTTATTTCATTTTCTGTTTTCTCATATTGTTTGAATTGAAAGGGAAAAAACCGTTTTAGTATCCAAACTCTTTACCATTTTTAGTACCTTAAATTTTCGTTTAACTAATTGAAAAATATAATTAACAGTTAGATTGGACTTCTATAAGAAGATATGTTATAATGTAATTCTTTATGCTTTGGCAGTAGAGAACCTAATGTAAGTGATACTACTTATAAGGCCGAACATTTGCTTTGGCATACGTAGGGCTGCACAAGAGTCGAGCGGTGCGAATGCTCGAATCAAATTTCAGCTCGAACTCGAGTTTGACTGAACTCGAGTCGAGCTCGAGCTGCTCGAGCACGAATTTGAGTCGAGTTCAAGCCCATATTTTACATTGTCGAGCGGCTCGAGATATATGGTCAATTACTGAAATACCCCTTCTATATATATAATTTGACAAAGTTGTTTGAAAATTTTCGAACCGAACTCGAGCCGAGCTCGAGCATTTTGAATTCGAGTCGAGCTCGAGATATTGTTTTATCGAGTCGAGCTTGAGCCTAAAAAATCGAGCTCGAGCTCGAGCTCGAGCAGCCAAAAAAAAAATTAATCCTGCTCGATAAGGCCAATGTTCGACTCGGCTCGGCTCGTTTGCAGTCCTAGGCGTACCATGATTAGATTAAGTTCAATGTTGCGCTACAATGCTACTCTACTTCAGAGTACGAGCATATCCAGAAAAAAAAAAAAATATAACTCGGGGCTGCATATTTTCATAGTTATTATTGGAACTCAGTAGACATAGTTATGGGAGGCCCGAACCGACACAAAATCGGTCCGTTGACCACGGGTTTTGAACCGGCCCGTGATTTTGACGGATCTGGTTCATGTTCAATACTTTATAGTGATGTAGGGAAGCGTACGAATGAGAAGGATAAAACGAGATACTCTCTCGATAAAAACTCACAATCAATTCATATTCTTAATCAATAATCAACCACCTCAAATAATAGATGTGAAGTCCTTTAAATAAGGCTCCCATAAACTCTACTCCTTAACTTGTCCACCAAGACAAGATAAATAAAAACAATTATAATAATAATATTAATCAATATTAATGGTAATAATAATAATAATATTATTCTACACCATTTTCCCCCTGTTCAGAAGGCTTCGCCCTCGAAGCTGACGCGATCCCGTGACCGGCGTGTGGTATCGAACCCATGGCAGGCAAACCCCCTTTTTTTCCCCGGTCGAACACGAAGGTTGAATGTCGCCCAACAAGTTCAACACTCTCTTGATTTTCATCAGACAGGGATACGTCTACAGCTTTCTCACCAACATCAGCAACATATACCAAGACCCTTCCAGATAAAGACATTGTAGCAATACACCTTGGGCACAACCATGAGCAAACACATCTGCCTTCAGGATCAAATCCCACATAAAAAGCGTGATACCACTTATCACAAGAATTATAAGCAATGGATGTATCAATATCTGAGTCTACATCAATTGACACCGATCAACTACGAATTTTGTAGTCATCGCCATCCATGCAGACAACTGCGTCCTCATCGATTCCCGTGTCCCCGCAAAGATTTTTTTCGATCACTGGAGGCTCTTTATAAAAGATCGGCGGACCGTCGTACAATGGCCCAGCTTGGAACAGTATGGAGAACTATGAACAACAGTAGGGATGAATGTTCATTCATTGAATAAAGTAAGTTCTTTTATGTCGGAAGATCGCTCGTCTCGGGTAATAGTTGTTCCAGGAGTGGGTAAGTAGATTCGATCCCGCCAACTTGCTCTCCATCGAATTCTGGGATGTCAACGTGAAACGGGCCCTCCCAATGACCGTATTCGCGATCAAGTCCCCAATCGCGTCGGGCACGATATCCGCTAGCGAAGGCTGCCTCCTCGCGCCAGCCCCTGTCGCTGCGTTGATCGTCGTCGTCCGCGAAGACCGAGCCCCATCGCCGCATATCATGGCCACCGTATGCAGCGAATGTCTCAGCCTCGACGTATGGAGGTTGATAATCGCCGAAGGGGTTCACCTCCGAGATTGTCTCCTTGCTGTCTTCGTCACCGGACGGTGGTTGTGGAGATCTCCAGCGGCCAGCCTGTACCACGGCCTCCACGTCCTCCGTGAATTCCCCCGCACACGCCCCAATTGTCGGGTCACGGTACGTTTGCTTGTCCTGAACCAAGGTACGGATAGTTAGACGTATGTCCCCGATCTCCGCGGATAGATCTGCAATCTCATGACTCATCGTCTCGAGCTCGCGGCCAAACCACTCGGTCTGGCGGCTCAGGTTGTAGATGGCGGCGACACGCCTGTCATTTGCAGCATCTTGTCTTTGCGACAGAATCGTGAATCGTGCTGACTTCTGATACCAACTGATGTAGGGAAGCGTACGAGTGGATAGGATAAATGAGTAAACGAGATACTCTCTCGTAAAACACGCAAGACACAATATCTAATCTTATTTCATTTCAAATCAACCACTGAATAACAAAGAAGAGGAGTCTTTAAATAAAACACTCAAAACCCTAAACTAACTTGTCCAACAAGACAAGATCTCTTATAATAATATTTAATTCCTAACTTATTCTTCAAGATACCTAATAATAATAATAATAATTATTATTATATTACACCATATAGTTTATTGAACCGACAGTTTCGATTCTGGACTCGAACTGACACCGGAACCGAAGGTTTTACCTTTTTTTAATTATTCTTTATTTTCGTAATGAATCAAAAGGCCAAGAACCGACGATTCAATGAACCGACTCGTGCATATATTCGGGCCAGTTCAGTGCCCTCCGATCCTCGCTCGGGACCAGCGGTTTCGAGCATTCGTGCATATGTACGTCCATTTATATCATTATATGGATGCAATAAGTTCGTACATTCTTAAGTCCACCATTTTGCCAAAAGAATAGTTAGTCCATCTGTACTTATCTGTACTCTAGTGTAGAATTTACTCTACTCTAGAGTAGAGTTAACAAACATTCAAAGTTCTTCTTCAACCGTTCGCGCTACATTTTACTCTACATTAATATTTACAATTTATTTTAATTATTTTAAATTAATTAGAATGACAAAAATATAATTTAATAAATATATTATCTTATACATATTAAGTTATTTAAATTATCAATACTAGTACAGTCCCGTGCGATGCACGGGGATTTATTATCTTCGTCCCTTTTATAAAGCAATGTTGATTTATTATCTTCGTCCCTTTTATAAAGCAATGTTTAGTTAAAATTCAAAGTACTTACTAAAGGAAAGATCATGTCATTAATAATAAATAAATTAATAAATACAATGATAATAAAATCTATATATTATTGAACACTTCCTTATATACAACGTTTGTGGTTTGATTCTTTGGCACGTCATCATCGCCGCAAATTAGGACTTTCAAACCCATTTCTGTTTGTGACACGGGAGACAGCAACATACAATTGACCATGACTAAACACTGGTTTCTTAAGAAAGAAGCCCACATGCGATAATGATTGTTCCTGACTCTTGTTTATAGTCATATTGTAAGAAAACATAATGCGAAACAATTAATCCAATAACATCTACAAAAATATAAGAAAATACATCATATTGAAATGTATAACATATAAAATAGTTTATTACAGATTTAAATTAAAAAAATCGAAATAAGAAATAAACAAAAAAATTATAACGTACCAAACAACATGACTTCATCAATGTTACGAACATCCATTAAAGTTAGAAATAGAGAAATCACCCCTCCATTTGATAAATCACCTCTCCATTTGATAAATCACCCCTCCATTTGATAATCTTGGTTTGACCATTGATAATGATCCTCCTTTTACTTATTGTCGATTTATGGATGCCAGTATTGCTATTCACTTGATAGTTTGTCAAGATATAAGCGCCATTTTCTTCGATATCACCGATGATTTTTTGGATATTGACAGGTCGAATTATGCTAGTAATTCATCCTCCCTAATACATTGCATAATGAATACTTCAATAAATAAATTATAAAAGATGTTGCATAAAATGATGCATTTAAATAATACTAAATGAATATATTACCTCAAAATCATAATAGATTTTTTCAAGAACATTTCGGTAATTGTGTACGTCTTCAACTCGTTGGAACATCCTAATTATGCGTAGCTTGATTGGTGGCTTATTGGATCTTTTGATATCCTTGATTACTCCAAAATCCGAAGCCATTTTCAATGGTGATGTAAAAGCTTGTAGAAAAAATTGTTTTGTGGGATATATTGGATGTCGAATACTTTTTGTTCAACGTTGGTGATGTTTATATAGTCATGTGTATGTGCCATATGTCTAGGAAATAAAAAAATATTTACGTAAGGTATTTAATATGATCCGATCCGATTTTTTTTATTATGATTATGATTGACTTCTAAAAATATGTGTTATCGGTTTTGTTAAAAAAATAAAAAAAAATGTGGAACGTGATTCACTTGTGAGGGACGAACGAATATTTAGAAGATTATGTAGCCAAAAATAATGGAGTTTGTTACAATGAAATTTGGTAAAACTTTTTGGATAGATTGAAAAATAATATTTTTATTTTTATCTATTTATTTGGACAAATCCAAAACTTTAATTTACAAAATTATAATCTTTAATTTTTTGAAACGTGTAAAATTTTCTAAGATAACTTCTATACAACAAAATGTGATCAAATCATAATTGATTTTTATGCCTCAATATTCCAAATCAAACCTTACAAATATGGTATGATTATTTACTATGAATATTTTATTTTTTCAAACGTCTGATTCTCTTAGGTTTATATGAAACAAAGTTCAATCAAATCAAAATTGATTTTTATGCCCACACTAAAACTTTATCAATATGATATGTTTATTTTATTTATTTATTTTTTTTCAAATCCACGACTCAAATTTTCGAGAGAGAGAAAAAAAGGAAACAAAATCTTATCAAACCTTATCAAATTTTCGAGAGAGGAAAAAAAACAAAAAAAATTGGAAACAAAATCTTATCAAACCTTATCAATAATGAAGATTCGTGTTTCCACGAAAAGCTAACAAAATCCCGTGGTTACCAAAATCCTATCAAAATAGTTAAGAAAATTCCATTAAATTGGTTAACAATATTGGAACGCATTTTGTTAGGAAAGATTTACGTAATTTATCTATCTAATTAATATCATATTAACGTGTGGGCCCAGTGATATTAATTTAGTATAACATCCATTATCTCAGAATAATTATTTGTTTGATTTACAACATTAATTTGAATGGAAAAAAATCCGTAATTGTTGAGATATCTCAATTCAAAATCTCAATTTTTTAGCATAAGAATTTTCAAATTTGTGACCAATAAAAATATATTCCTATGGGATTAATATTTAAATGTATTAAATTTTGGTATAAGAATCTCCAAATTTGTTACCAAAAGAATCTTCAATTTGTTACCATAAGAAACCCATAAAAATCTCCTATAGATTGGAGTTTATCCATATTTAGTATAACATCCATTATTCTCGGAATAATTTTTTGTTTGATTTACATCATGAATTTGAAGGGGAAAAAATCTGAAATTGTTAGGATATCTCAATTCAAAATCTCAATTTTTTAGCATAAGAATCTCAATTTGTTACCATAAGAATCCCATAGAAATCTCCTATGGGATTGGAGTTTATCAATAGTTGGAATAACATCCATTATTTTTGGAATAAATTTTTGTTTGATTTACAACATTAATTTGAATAGGAAAAAAATCCGTAATTGTTGGAATATCTAAATTCAAAATCTCAATTTTTTAGCATAACAATCTTTAAATTTGTTACCAATAAAAGTAGATTCCTATGAATTAATATTTAAAATGAATTAGATTTTGGTATAGGAATCTCCAAATTTGTTACCATAAAAATCTCCAATTTTTTTGGGATATCTCAATTAAATTTGTTACCATTAAAATCTCCAAATTTGTTACCATAAAAATCTCAATTTTTTTAGTACATGTGTTTTTTTCGAAATTTCCATTAATAGTAAGTCAAACTATTTATTTTTTTAGTCAAACTTACTATAAAAGTATTTTTCCAACAACCTCTTTATATTACTATAGATATGGTTAGTATTAATATTTATAATTAATAAATTTTAAATAAAATTATAATTAAGTTATCAATTTTTAATAACATATATGTTTATATATAAAAATATTATATACAAATATTACACAAAAAATTATATATAAACAAAAAATTAAAAAAAGAAAACAATATAGTGATGGACAGATGAGTAGTACTGCGCCATATGTGGCCTAGTATTGTAGATATATCTCATCTGGCGTAAAAATCTACGCTGCAGTGGACAATAAATTTTGCACAACTCTGGCGCTGTGTTGGACATGCTCTTAAGTCCACCATTTGGCCAAAAGAAGAATTAGTGGAAATGTGGAATAGAAAGTGTTGGTAAAATTAAAAGGGAGTCAGTGTAAAAGCAAAATACATTGTGTGTACACAATCATTCTAAAGAGTAGTGAAACATGCACAAGAAAATTTTGTGATGTGTGCTTCCGTTATTTTATGTGTTCCATGAATTCTATACTAAAAACTATTGATACTCTCCAACCAACCTCAATCTAATTTGTAGAATATATGTAAAAATGGGCCAAAATATAATCAATTAATATTCAATCAAATAAACTCTTGAAGTTTGAAAAACAATGCATTCGAGACAATAAATTCATTCAACCTCTCGCAGTAACAAGTATCTTTTCAGAATGAACAAACTGTTCCTCTCAAACCAAAGTGCAAAACAAAGAAGCTAAAACATGCTTTCCCAATATTCCCAATGTTTCCACCCCACAGATACAGGCAATAAAACCCCCATGAAACTAAATTTTACTCTGCATTCGAAGCTCCTTCAACTGATCTCTCAACACTCTCCTCAGCAGTTGCTAAATTTTACTCTGTATTAGAAGCTCCTTCTTCAACTCATCTCTCAACACTCTCCTCAGCAGTTTATTTGATGCTGTTCTGGGAAATTCCGGGACTATCTTCACAAAGCCCACCTGCTCATTTCAAAATAAAATTTAAAAAGAAAAAAAAAAAAAAGTTCAGCCTTTTAAATAACATCTTTCTTGTAAAATATATCAAAACCTTGAACAAAGGGTTGAGGTTAGTCTGAATGGCTCTCGANTAGTTCTCAAAGTCCCCAACTTGGGAAATTTTTACGAGAATTTAATAAATACCTTAATGCCTCCGAGGTTCATGGTATCGTCCGCTCTACCCTGCACCATCAGATACCCACCCACACTTCTCTTCACTATGTCACCATGTCTTCTTAGTTGCTGTAAGATGTAAAACATAATTTGACCGTTGGATTTAATGATTAAAATCAGCATTTCACGGTTGCCTTTCTTGATCAGACTTGTGCCACCATTCGTATTTATGAAAATGATATTAAAAGTAGTACAAACTAGAAAACGGTGATGATGTAATTGCAAAAGGAAACTTTAGTACGCTGAGGTTTGGTATTATTGCAAATAGAATAATATTACAAAGATTCCCCTGAGATTTTTATTTGTTACAAAAATGCACCCTCAGTGGGTGTTATTTTGCTACATAGAAACATAAATATGAAGGGGGTATTTATTTACAAGTAGCTAGATTTTTTGTCATAAAGGTATATCATCAAATTGTATTTTTTTAAGTCCCAACGAGTTGATCTAATAATATATGCCCATGCATTTAGATTCCAAAACTTGAAGATAGGTAAAGAAGAGTTGAATATGATCAGCAACAGTAAGATTGACAATATAAATTGGCAAATCTTAAATATGACCAAAAAGCTTACCCTTCCTTTGTACATTGGCATACCCTTGAAGTAAACCTCATCATGGTCAGCATTCAACAATCTATCAGTCGCACCCATGTAGAGTGGGAGTAGGCCAACTTCACCAACACAAGGTTCATCATCTGGCTAAAACCGTTAAGTATAATGACCGTTAAAAAATGTTGCCCAAAAGACGCTAATCTTTGGTAAAAAGTATAAGTCCATCACACATCTTAACTAACTCAAGGTAACGAGCAAGATATCCTCATAGCACAATATTTTACTTGTAGGGAAATTAGAACTACAGCATTTGTGATTTTGCCTATTTACAACAAACAAAAAAAAAAGAGAGAAAAAAAAAAGAAAAAAAAAATAAAACCCAAAACCCAACACAGAAAAGTAGAATGTAAAGGAACAGGAAAAGAAAAAAAAATGCCCAGAAGCCGGAACCATTGACAATCCCTTTTTCTTTCAAAAAAGACATTTTTCTTGGAATTTATCAACCAGCTTAAGTTGAAATCAGTCATTGTCAACAAGAAAATAAGCACGGGCAAGAAAATTCTTACATAAGGAATTCCATTTTCGTCTAAAATAACAAAGCCTGAGCCCATGGAGGCGGAGCTAAAAGTTGCGAATGCCTGAGGTTGCAAAAGATTCCCCTGAATATAAGAGGACGCAAGTTCTGTTCCCCCACAACACTCGATTACCGGCTTATAAAAGGATGTTGAGGACAGCCACAGGTCATCATCAATGCTCGAGGCTTCACCAGTAGAAGCAAATGTCCTGTTGAGTTTTTAGTCAATGTTCACAAAAATAAAACGATAAATAATAAAGAGTAAAATAAGGAAATACTATTTTTTTGTGATATCAGTTGTAGAATACTTTATTTTTGTCCAATCAAGGCCTTCCATGCAACGTGTACTCTTCCAGGTCTTCACTAAGCTAGGAACTGTTCCTAAAATAGTAACTCCTGCATCCTGGCAAGTAAGAGTATAAATCTTAAGCATAGTCTCAGAACATAAAGCTACCAAGGTTTCGATTAACTAAGAAAAATCCAGTTGTCTTCGATGATAACAAAAACAACTCAATAATATGAGAAATTAACGGAAGAGAACTTGCAATTGAAAGATGTAAAAGAAATGGATTTCTTGCCAGCTAAGCTTAATAAACTATTACCTGAACAAATTTTCCAAACCCACGGCCTAGAGGGGAGCCATGATAAAGAGCTAGAGTTGCACCGGATAGAAAACACGAGTATAGTAATATTGGGCCCATAACCCATCCTAAATTTGTTGGCCAGCAGAAAATATCCCCACAATTAACATCAAGATGTGTCCATGAATCAGCCGCACACCGAATAGGGGAAAGTTGCGACCATGGTATGGCTTTTGGCTCTCCTATAAACATGTCATTTCATGAGCATAAAAAAATATCAGAAGTACCATTTAGATTTGACTAATTACCAAAAAATATCCTAGTTACTTTCAACACTTTAAATACCTCATCATCGATATTTGTTACCATCTTCGAATGTGAATATTTAATAGTAACGTAAGGTGGAAAATGGCAACTCGTGAATTAAAGGGANGGGCTTTTGTAGCTCCAGAGGAAATGTAATTTTGTAAACCTAACTATATTGTCTGTGATTAGCTCATATCATTATATCAGTGTGGGGAGTATATTTTCGTAATCATCCTTAAAAAAATCGTCACATAACGAGATTAAGATAAAAGATAACTGACCTGTAGTACCAGAAGAAAATAAGATATTGGTGATGGCATCAACAGGCTGGTAAACTGGTGAATAGTAATTACTTCTGCGAAATCGAACGTTTTCATAAATCATGCAATTTTGTAGTGACAGATTCGAAATCAGTTGTTCATCATCTTGATTACCTCGGCAGGCGATATGCACTTTCCAGAAAAGCTTTCCAAGACAAATCTTGATTTCTTAATTGAACAGCTACATCTTTACCAGTTGATGGTATGACAATAATTTTATCTGGGCCGGCTTCTACTACTCGACTACATTTGAGACATAAGAACATTGGATTATATAAAGATCATTCAGCTTAACTGTTACTGTTCTCTACAAATGCAAGTACTACCTGTATAAAGGAAATCTCCGTCCTCCTCGTAGAATAAAATCCTGAATTTGTATGAAGTTAGAGCATCTCCAATGTTATGAATTTGAAAGACCATTATTTTTAACACATGTCAATTAGTGATTGTAATGTTAATCCACATTGGAATAATGTTAAAAGACTGGAAATTTGAATGAAACTAATATCTCCAATGCATAAATTTGATAAGATGTTATTTGTATAGGTGGACCAATTAAATAATTCATTGATACAAGAAAAATAAAAAATTAAAACAAATATAAAGTAAATTGATGAGTCATCATGTTTAACATGGTGTTAGATATTAGAAAGTATGCTCAACATTGTCAACATTAAATGACAACCACCTCATCATGAAAGAGTTCTTGACAAGATGCATTGGAGAAAAAAATAGTATCACACTTTCAAAAGTTGATAATATGAATGACATTTTATCATGTCAAAAGTCACATTGGAGATGCTCTTAGGAAATTCCAAGATAAGAACAGACTATATTCTACACAAGAAAGTTCCAAAGTATCAATTCTCTAGTCACTGAATGCATACATAATGAATTATCTGCTAGCATTTGGACAACACAGGCCTTTTCATCATTTGGAAAACATCCAAACAATAGAATAATAAAAATAATTATTATGTTTTTTCATTTTTTTACTGTACACACTTAATGGGAAAAGAAAACAAACGCACACACAGACACACACGCAACATTTTGCAGTCACCTGTGTGAAAATTGCTTTAGCTTTCGACACACGCAAACGGGTAGCTATTTCCTGAGGTGCAAAGCTGTCTGCAATTGAAACAACAACAAGCCCGGAAAGCACAATCGCCAAGTATATAATAACAGCTGTGTTTGTCATGGGCATGTCAATGGCAATTGCATCTCCTCGAGAAAATGCTGATTCCAGTGCATTTGCTACCACCCTACCTCAATGTTATTAAGGCTTTGTTACTTAGGAAACCATATCCATGCATTGATTTTCAAGATAGATTAGACATGCAGGGGAAAGCCATATTTCTGACTAACTAAGAATAAATTCATTTCAAGTCGATTGATATAGTCAAGCATCAATCAATATAGAAACTTAGGAAGCATATGCAAACAATTAAAGGGGAAAAAAGTTGATTGCAGGTTTTGGCTGTTTATCAGATGTCATCTTCTATGTAGGTACAATTTAATCAGAATCGAGAACTCCATCTTATAGTTAATTTGAAATTCACAGCACATTCAATGTTTTATACCCTTTCAATTTATCATACATTACGCGCTAACAAGTTCCTAGAAACCTACAAACATCATCTTAGGTGATTTTCCTGTACAATAATTCACTGTGATAACATGCGAAAATCACAGATTACACAATAAACGGTGTGATTATTAAATAACATGAAGTTTAGATGATTTGGGGCATACATTACTTGTTCTCGCAGCTCTTTTAATGTCATATGCTCCACGTTTTCATCATCGTGGCCTTCATTCCTCCAAACAATTGCCAAGCTATCATCATGCTTTTTCAAATAATCGCTCGAATGCAGACAACAGTCGGCAATATTCAAAACTGCACCAGGCAGCCAAGTTACCCCATTCTTGGATTCATTGGAGGTGTCGAGAATACATTTTGGCGGGACAAGAAATTGAACTGAGAGCTCATTCAGTATAAGGTGCCAATATATCTATTTAATAAAAAAATAAATCAAGTTGTTTATTAATATGAAATCAGAAAATGCATATTTCTATAGGAGAAAAAAAATTAAAATAAAACCCATTAACAACACTTGCCTCAGGATGCTGAACTGAAAACTGATGAAATTGTTTGAAACTTGTTATGGGGTCTCTGTATGATGCCCCTAGTAGCTTAGGACAGTGAGATTCCATAAGACGTCCCAAATTTGTGTTTTTCGACTGATTTCTGACAAAGAAAATTACAAGGATGCAAAACAATCACCAGGAAAAAAAAAAGGTCAGATTTTATGAATTCTAGGTCAATCCTCAAGGAGCATAAAGAACAACCTGTAAATAACCACATGAAGACAATAAACTAATTATTTCACACTCTCTGAAAAACATATATGGCACTCAAAAAGTTAGATTTTTTGTATGTATACATAACACCCAGATAACTTTCAACAAATCCACTTTAGACAAAGATACTCAAGCAGTGAGAAACCATTTTAAACATTGTGAAAATTCTTAGCAAAAAGCATAATTCTTGACGCTTCCCATATGCTTAATTTTCTTTGTTTTTTCATATCATTAATTGGTTACCTAAATATCCTGAAAGAGTAATCAAGCAGAAAATTGAAATCTGTAAGAATAAATAACAATAGAAGGGCTGAATTCAAAGATGATAGTGACCAAATCCACACGAACACACACACACACACACACAATAGTTACAACTTACAGGGATGGGAACCAATAGGGTGGAGGTCCATGGAGAGACTCATCGTAATTAGAGTAGACCGCGTAGTAGAGGAGCTGATGAATGGAATGTGGGTCCCACGGTTTCAATAGCTTGCGACCCATTATCCGACGCCATAGCTCCTTACCTTCCAACCCATAACGATAACTATCTTTCAGCTCCCTTTCCAACTCTTTAGCTTCTTCAAGCTCAAGCCCAGCTCCCAACAAATCTTCCAATCCAACTTCCCTTATGCTCTTTCCCATCCTCAACAGAGCTTGAGTTGCGTGGGAGTGGGAGAGTGGCAATAATTTATAATATAATAATTGGGACTTGGGAGATACTATTGATAGTGCTCATCATCAATAAACGAAATGCATATTTACTAAGACAAGGAAAAAAAAAAAACAAAATGGTCCCTGCATTTAAGATTTCTCACGATTTAATTAGAAAAAAGAAAAAAAAAATGGGTCTGCGTGGCAAAATCTTGTCCTCATCTTAGTGATGACATGCAAATTGTTGCACCTAACTCTCAGCACACGTTACTCTCTCTCCACCAAACTCAAATTCTTTTTATTGACGATCACAACACAACATGTTTCCCTTCATGGCATTTACCCTTATCATGGAATAGAAGATGGAATAAAATTGTTGAATAGAAAATTCTAATCCGAAAAAATAAAATTTACATGGGTTCCGTATCCTTGGTGTTGTAGATATATCGCATATCTTGCCGCAAAATGATAGCTCAGAATTGATGCCGTAAGGATATTAATCATCCTCAAACTCTCACAAGCAATTGCTTTATTAGAACCCACAAAAAAAAATAAAAAAATAAAAAATGATTATGAATAATCTCTTATAAAAAAATGATAGGGTTTTGTCTTTCAAACAACTCGCCCTCTCGACATGCAGTAAGCATTTTGGGAGAAACATACATAATTTTTTTTTTTTCTGCCAGAAAATTCTAGCCCAGGTGATTTGGATTGCTCTGCCACTTTTTACGTCATTTTACTTTGCAAATCGTTGAGTCCAGTCGGCAGCCAGCTCATCATGCTTTGCCCGATCACTCAAGTGTGCAATGCCCGGAACAAAGGGTTTATCTGCAAAAACCAGCATGATAGGAAATTTCATCACCTCATGTTTAAGGGACTATTATACAAATTACCCACTGAATAAAGTGCAAATAGAAACAAATGTTAAGTGACTATTATAACTCTCGCTATATGGACTCCAGACGACAAATGTGCTACAGCCTATAGGCAATTCATTTTAATTAATCAGTTAAAAAGATTCTTACATGCATCAGGGTTGGTAAATATTGATCTAAGTGCTAAAAGCACCTTCGAGATGGTAAGAGCTGGGCTCCATCCATCATTCAGCATATCCAAACTAACATTTCCATAAGAATCAACATTACAGTGGTAGATTCTAGTTTTGAACACAACCTGCACACACCTGGGGTCGAACATGAGGAATAAAACAAAAACAAAAGAGAGGACTTTCACGTCAAATAAAATTAACAACAGTAATTTCTCCAATATGGCACACTTTTTTGAAGTCTCACGAGGTGTATTTTTCTGTGAGAATGTGAGGTACCTTTGGAGGATTAAACGGATAATCGTAGGGGAATGTGATATCAAGGAAAAATATGCCTCCTTCATAAGGTGTCCCTGCGAAATAAATAGACAAGATTTTTGTTAGATGATCCATCAAATTTTCTTAAGAAGCTCCTTGCATTCACCTTCAACAAACTTCATTAACAATTACAGATCACCATAATTAAAAAAGCAAAAGTTAAAAAAAATAAAATAGATAAAAAAAGAAAACCCACATTCTAAAGACAACTTCGGCATTAGTTTCATGAAACACATAACAAACTTAATCCAAGCATTGAAAGAAAATATAAAAGGTTGAAGCTTTTCTTATACTCTAATAGAAGAAGCCAATGATTAGATCAAATAAACTAGTTAAAGTCATTAATAGAACCAGCAAGATGTCGATGAACAACACGTTAACGAATACTGCATCATATTACACAATTCCTTGGCCGGTACTAAAACCACGAATTCAAACTCTTAAAAATGCATGTCAACGTGTTTGGCAACATTCACACGAAAATAAAGATCGACTAATGGCCCCCTATTTCGTTCTGTTCTCTTCCAGAAAAAGTAAATTCAAACCCCCAAACAGCCAAAATCAGAACGAAAGAAAACCTAACTAGAATATCCCTCAAATCAAGAAACTGTATAAATCGTTGTAAAACTGCAGTAATTCTCTAGGTACAACTCTTATAGCGCAGGGTACTATAGCTCCGCTGCAACCCAATACAGCTAATCGGGGGACTTGTAAAGGGTACAAGCGGTGAAGCAAGAGAGTACCATACCAGGCGGTCCGAAGATAGTCGCGACCCAGTGGTAGAGATTGTCGGCTTTGGGGCCGGCGGCACAATCGGGTGGCGGGTCCATATTCAGCTCCGACAACTCCTTCTGAATTCTTTTCCCCGAGGCCGAAGAGGATGACGTCGACGGCCACGACCGGCCGCATCCACCGTTGCTACCGCTTCCACTTCCCCTTCCGCCCCCGCCACCACCGCTGCCGCCACCGCCTCCAGCTAAAATCATCATGGTGCTGCTGTTGCTACTACTCATCTAAAAGATGGACATAAAAACTTTCACACATATTTAGGACATTTTTCATAAATTTAGTTAATTGATTTTTTATTTTTATTTTTAATTTTTTGGTTACAAAAGGTAGGCTAGCGCCAAACAATAATTAAAGACAAACATTCCCTGAATAAGAGACACGGCTAATGTTGTGCTCTAGCCTCAGAACGATACTGGACGGTGGGGCTTAAAGTTGTTGAAAACCGAGAGAACTTGATGCCGCAAGAGACGCCACATAATAAATTCACCACGAAAGATATGAGAAATATTAACCTGCGAGTTTCGGCTGAGTAGTTCTTTAATCCCAAAAACCAAATCAAAATGAACACCTATTATATCTTCTGTATTACTTGCAAATCCCACGACGTTGGCATTGTCGACCTCCACCTGACGATATCACATATCCCAAGCCATAATAAGATCGTGAAATAACCCCCATAACTCCATAGAGCACAACCCAATATTCATCATGAAACCACCTAATCATCTACCATAAGTATCTCGAATCAACCTTCCAGTAGAAGTCGTACCCGAGGATTTATTATAAGCCCCATCAGAATTCACTTTCACCCGAGACGTCGGTGGCGCCTCCCAACGGATAAGACGCGGGACTCGAGAAGCACCGGTGCCTCCAAGTTTCTGATCGCCCTTTTCAAAATGGAGTATACTATTAACGAAGTTTTGGATCTCATTCACTTTACCATTGGCTTCCTTCCCACGACTTTGAAAAATAGCATATTTCGCCATTGCCATAATTTCCACAAGATCACTCCAAAAAAGCACTCCCAATTATCGACGTCAATAGGAGTCTCGAATGAGTTCATTAAGTTAGAAGCGAGCCACGCCTTCAAATCTAGCATGAAGAACTTATGATGTACATGTGACGGAATTCAGGCGGGATCGGGGCTAACCATCATACCATCATAACACTTTTTCTAAAAACCATATCATCATAAACATTCTTAGTAATCTTAGTATAATTCATATAACTCAGCAAAAAAAAAAATATTTATAACTGTTTACGTTTCGACAACCAAAATTTCTACTTAAAGCCTCCTTCATTTTGTGGTGTAAGAGAGATCGTTCATTCGAGTTATATTTTTTCTTGTCATTTTCGTCATATGTTTGCCAACGGATTGGAGAAAGAGTCGTGACCAGGATTCCCTTTCCATAAGGAAAATTGAAAAATTCATCTCGTTTTACCAAGTACCAAGATATTGAACCTAGTCGTAAGTAGAATACTTGGTATGAGTAACTTTAACTTATAGGTCTGCAACCCATTGTAGTATATATGGTATGAGTAGCTTGCAGGTCTGCAACCCATTGTAATCATTATTTCATAGTCTTTGAACCATCAACTGTCGTGAGTAGAATGTTTGGTATGATTAACTGAATTCTTGATCCTCATTCCATCGAAGTCCTAACTTCTTGTCTTTGAACCATCAATCACTACGATTGCCTACAACTAGTGCTTTGAGCTGTGTTAGTTTATCTGTTCTACTTAAAAATGGCCTCCAACCAGTGTTGATGTGTTAATTTCTCTGTTAGTTGTTTGAGATGTGTTGATTATATGTTTTGCAATTCTGGCTGCTTCATTAGAAGGAAAAAGACTCTATCAAAGGAAGAAACTTGAACTATGAAGAAATAAAGATATACCTAATTGCATAATTTGTATTTAGAGTAGATCTTGTGTTAAGATAAACTACGTCATAATTTAATTTCAAGGAAAAAACAACTCTATCCCAAATTTCAAGAAAAAACAACTCAATTCTAAGTTTAAATCAAATTGTGCTCATGTTTTTATTGCAATTTATAAGCTTACATCATTCTCGAATCAATCAATAGAACTAAGCATCGAATCAATCAATAGAACTAAGTAGAACTAATCAATAGAACTAAGCATCGAATCAATCAATAGAACTAAGTAGAACTAAGCATGAGAAATGTAGCATAATCAAATCTGAAAATCATTCCAAAACTGAAACACAAGCACACAAAGCATAAGCACTTTGACCAATTCAAGTACAACCGAGAATAATAAAATCTAAAATCATTCCAAACATCTTGAAAAACTTGAATTGTGAAGAAATAAAGATATACATAAAATCCAAAATTATTCCAAACATCTTGAAAAACTTAAAGTACGAAGAAATAAAGATAATTATTCCAAACATCTTGAAAGACTTGAAGTATGAAGAAATAAAGATATACGTAACTGCATAATTTGTAATTAAGATAAACTATGTCACCATTTAATTTCAAGGAAAAAACAACACAATCCCAAATTTCAGGAAAAAAACAGCTCAATTCTAAGTTTAAATCATTTTGTGCTCCTTAGCTTATAATAAGTGTTTCTTGCATTCATTCTCGAATCAATCAATAGAACTAAGCATAAGAAATGCAACATAATCAAATCCAAAAATCATCCCAAAACTAAAAAAGCACACAGAACTTAAAGCATCTCAACCAATTCAAGTACAACCGAGAGTAATGAAATCCAAAATCATCGCAAACATCTTAGAAACAATCCAAGCAGAAAAGAAACATAACAAGAAAAGAAAAGAGTCTAGTCACCAAAGCAAAGCAGTTAAAAAGAAGATAGTAATGGCTAATAAGACAGCACGGCACAAACGCATTTCTTTTCCCAAAACACAGGTCAATCAGTCGGGTCACTGGCTAGGGGACCTTGCCCTCCTCTGTCCCCTTGAATACTCAGCCGGAGGATAAGGGCTCCTGCTGCGGCTCGGGCTTCGGGCCCTTTCTGGAGAACGGTTTCGGGCTGGGCTTTGGCTGCGGCTTCTTGACCCAGCAGGTGAACGTTCCCTCACTGGGCTCACACTGTAGTCCCTTGGGCCGTTATACGGAGGAGACTGTTCACGTGCTGGGGATCTTGAGTATGATCTTTCTCTACTGTATCTAGCCCTACGAGGAGGAGAGACAGACCTGCATATTTTTGTTGTGTTGAGTGGCACACAAATAAAACATATGAGATGACAAAAAAGGGGGAAAGCAGCAAAAAACAGTAACACACTGCCTGGAGATTGGAGAAATCCCCCTTGTTCGCAATTAAATCGACTAAAAGCATATCCTGCGAATATTGTTTTCTAAAGAGGGGTTTTCCATCTGGGTGGTGAGAAAAGATTGCTTTTCCATTTTGATTTAGTTACGTTTTTTTTTTTTCGGCAATTTCAATATATTGGCAAATTGGAACTTTTCGTATTTTTACTGTTTGTAATTGCTTTTGCTTCACTCTGTTGAAGATTTGTTTTTTATTTTTTATTTTTTGCTTGGGTGATGCAATGGCTGGGAAGCAAAGGGCTGGTATGTTGTACAATAGCATTTGAAGAAAAATAGATTAATTTCCTTTACACCACCACATTCGTACTCTTACCAAAATCCTACTTTTATATTTCTTCTCCTCCTAAAATTACGATGATTTACTAAAAAAGCAAAAGGTAAGGTGTAAAAAGTGCCACTTTAAAAGTTGGGGTGCCAGGTAACTTGAAAAACTCACAAAGTTGGAATTAATATGTTGAAAACAAATTTTATATGATAAACTGCATAAATACATAAAAGTTTTGAGGATCTCAAATTCAAATTGGAAAATGTTACCACCTTGATGGTTTAACCTGATTACAAAAAAGTTTGCTAAACTAGGTGTAGAGCCTTAAGTTTTTAAATCACAATATATTTAATTAGTGAAATGAAAATAAAAGGTCAAGCACAGATCTGTAACTTTGAAAAATCATTTTTCAGACATGATCATGATCTCGCAGCCAATTTCTGTATCAGTTATGGTTAAAACATTCCGATTACATAGATATAAGAAATAAAACACCAAAAATAATGGCATACCTCGAGTATCCTCTCCTTCGAGGAGAGTAGTGATCACGACTATGGGAAGGAGACCTCCCATAGCGTGGTGGGGATCGAGAATAACGAGGTGGGGACCTTCTCCGATCATATGCACGGCCTCTGCAATAATGAATCGACCAAACAAACAAAAAAAATAAAACAAACAATAAATTTCCAATGCACAAACATAAAAGTCTTGATTATCTTTGACCACAAAACATGATCATATATGAATGCACTACCTTCCTCCTCGTTCCCTGGCTCTCATCTCATTTGGCTTCTTTCTGTTCTCTTCAGCAAAAACAACAGTGATCTCCCGACCTTGGAACAACTGACCATCCATCTGATATTTAGCATCGGCAGCATCAGCTGGGTCAACATACTGGATAAACCCAAAACCCCGTGGTTCACTACAGAAAGAAAAAAAAAATTGAAATTTAAATTAATAAAATCAAAGAGCTGCAGACATGAAAAGTTTTTCAGGTTACAAAAGTTTGCCTGAGCAGTTCAGACTTCAGAGAGGATGGTCTTTAGCATGTAAATGTCAGAATGCACTCACACAACTTTAAGAAAATAAAATAGCCCTCCTAAAAACTATTTACATCGAGGCAATTAATGTCTCAGTGAATGTAGTCTTCAAAAAAGTTCAAGACTGACAGAGACAGCTACTTCACTGGAGAGAATTCAGTCAATCTATCTATGCAATATTGAGGTTCTGAAATACCAAAGGCTTCTTAGAAATTAATAGCTCATACCAATTCAAAGAAATGGAAGGCCGTGATAATCACATAAGCAAGCACTAGGCAGCTGACCTTGTAAGTGAGATAATTAAGATGCTTGAAAATCTTCAAGACTTGAAAATCTTGACATCTTCACATGTATTCAAACCAGATTCTCTTCCAATCTTCATATACATTAACATCACCTCCATTCTTTACTACTTGATTGACGTCAACAGAACTCTTACAACTAGAATGTGCCAACAGAAATCTTTAACACTTGACTGAGGTCTTCATAAACCTTACTTTCGCTGCTAAATTTCAAAAATCTTAATTTTTGAATCCAATTATAGATGATACAATTAAATGAAAAAAATAGATGATGAAATAATGAAGATGGTTACCTAGCAGCATCAACTGAAAGTTAAACAATACATTTACGTGTGTAAAAAACAAATGCCTGACTTGAAGTACAGAATAAGACAAGGGCACAAATCTACACATGCTCACCGAGTGTGGTAATCCCTTGGAAGATAGATGTCCTTAACATCGCCAAATTGGCCAAAAGGCTTCTTCAAGTCCTCTGCCCTGTTTACAGCAAACAAAACCATTATTTTTTCTTGCCGTAGGAATTTAGATGGAGACAGAATCGGGACACAAGAACAAATAAAATTCAATCACCCTAATCTTTTATAATATTATTCCTATATCACACTGGTCTGGTGCTTCATTAAAGATTACAGGTTAAACATCAGGCATGCACAAGCCCATTTAAAATAAACAAGCAGGGTGCGCAAAACAAAAGCATGCAAAAATTCCATGATCTGACCAACTTCAAGAAGCATTTGGCAAATTTTCAGGGGATATGATGCTTCACAAATATATTTTATTAATTTATTTGCAAAGGAAGATGATCTCATGAACCAAAAAAGATTAAGAACGACAAAAAATACAAAGTTAGAAGACCTTTACCTACAGTCCCTACGTAGATTGCGAACTAAAAGGCTAGTAGGGGCATCTCCTCTGCCATGACGGCCTCTAGGGATTGGGCTTCTACCTCTTCTACTATAGCTCCTTGGTGGTGGTGAAGGGGTGTAGCTCCTTCCCCTCATTTACACAAATGATATAGAATTGTAGCTGTATGTTGTATAATAGATAATTAGCAAAAGAGAGTGAAAAATGAGACAGGGAATGAGAAAATAAAATCAACTGCGTTGTGGGCGCGTGGGGTAGAAAGGAAGACAACACAAATGAAGATTCATATAGAGGAATAACGACCACAACTACAAAACTTTACAGGGAGAGACCACTGATGTAACTAGAAAAATATCAGAATTCAATGGAGTATTATAACAACATAAACAGTATGTACAAAGATTAATGTAAAAAACATAAACAACATATACAATGATTAATGGCCGCTGCAGATAACACATGAGCTCCAATTCCAGTAAAAACTAAACCAATATAATGGGTTTGTGGGTACCAAAGGGAATGATCAGCTAGAGCTAATACATGATAAATAGCCATCATATCAGCTATCAAGAAAATACTAATCGTCATTTCATTCCATTGTTCCCACAAGAGTCGGCCTGAATACTTTGTCAAAAGAACTACTGTTTTTAACCAAAATGCAACTCAGAGACAAGCGATGCCTTAGAAAAACAAGCAAAAACATCAACCATTTATATCAAATAAGAAGGCCAGGATAACAATAAGAAAATCAATGAAGAAACATCAAACATCACTCCATGTATTCCTATGAAGAAACACAAGAAAACCCAATAATCAATAAAGAATCGTTAATGGTAACCAAGAAAACCCCAGCAAAAAGTAATCAGCTAATAGTCCAAGTACAATATCAAGAGCGATGGAAAATAAAGATCCAAGATGATATGTAATCAATAAGGAATCGTGAATGGTAACCCAAAAAAACCTCAGCAAGATCCAAGATGATACGTAATCAATAAGGAAAACCAAGAAAACCGCAGCCAAGTAGAATATCAAGAGCGATAGAAAATAAAGATCCAATATGATACGGAAGTAGTTAACCGAAACAAAACCCTAACTGAATCACATGCTACCTCAACAGCACAAGAAATTAGGAATTCTTGCGAGAGACGGCGGATGAACTAGAGAGCAAACGCGAAGTTAGGGTAGAAGGTACTTATATACATAAGCCCAAAATATTTTCTTTTGGGTTTCTTTCCTTTTCTAGGACACATAATGAGGAAATTGCAAATTTGGTCACGTTAGATTGGGACGGTCACAATTTTAGTCCTGCGCAATTTTAGTCCTTAACTAATTTTTATTGCGTAATTGGTCCCAAATCTAACTAACCGTTAAGTCACCGTTAAATTTCAGGACTAAATTTGCAACTGTGGGATTAAATTTGCAATTTTCTCATATTTGATATATATAAAATAACTTTTTATTTCTATTTTTATTTTTTATAATTTTATTCACCTCTAGAGTTATATTTTTATTTTTTTATCAACCATTATAATCATAATAAATTAAATGATGATTTTCTAAATATATTTATTATTTAATTAAAAATATTTGAAATATAGAAAACATTATATTGAAATTAAAATTTTTAATATATTAATAATAATATAAATTTAAATTTAGTTGTATATATATAAAATATATTTAAGTTTATATTTTTTATATTAAAATATATAAATATTTTTTTTATATACCAAATATGAATTTAAAAAATATGAATTAACAAAAAATATATTTGTTATGTATCAAATATGAATTTAAGTTTATATTTGTTATATATCAAATATATAACAAATTATTCAAATATATGATATTTTTGTTATATATCAAATATGAGTTTAATATATATATATATATATACACACACAATTGACCAGTCCGATCAACCAATTCTGACTGGTTCATTGGAAACCAATTCGTTCTAACGAATCCAACCATTTGACCGATTCCAAAAATTAAAAATATTTGGCCGAGCTTTCAACCAATAGTAGTTGGTATTACTTCTATTTTTATTTTTATTTTTATTTATAAATTTTATTAACCTCTAGAATTCTATATTTCTAATAAAATTAAATAATTACTATTTTTTAAATATATTTAATATTTAATAAAAATTAATTTTAAATATAGAAAACATTGTATAGCAATTATTATTTTTTGTCTCACCTAAATTTTTACTATAAAATATTGTTATATACTCACGGAATAAAAATTGCAACAAAAATTAGTAATAAAATTATTTTTTCAATATTTGGGACTAAATTTGCAACAAAACCAATCTTATGGGATCATATTTGCAATTTTCTCCCTTTTCAAACTAATGACAAACGGTTGACTTAACGGTCAGTTAGATTTGGAACCATTTGCGCAATAAAAATTAGTTAAGGACTGAAATTGCACCTCTTGAGACTAAAATTGCGACTGTCCCAATCTAACAGGACCAAATTTGCAATTTCCTCCATAAATAATATTTGAAAAACGGGTTGTGATTCGAATTATTAGTTGAACCGCCCGTTATCCACATAATTAATTTTTAATAAAAAAATATTTATATGATATTTTCATAGATTAAATATAAATACATTTAATGAAGTAATATTTGTATAGTTTAAAAATAAATATATTTAAACAACATAACAAAACCACATAATTCTATGTAAATTTTACAACCCAAATTATTAATATTGTTGTGTATCATTCAGAAAGTTACCACATAAATAAGTACATACAAATATTTTTTATTTTAAAAATTAAATAAATAAATTATCCCACAAAATTTAATCCTATTTGACATTACATATTTCCAAAGAAGTGTTTTCCAACCCTAATTACCTCGGCGAGTCGACCCGAATTCAGGATCCTGGTCGACGCCTTTGACCGGGATATAACAGACCCGGTCAAAATCGGTCAACCCGACGAGGTATACCCATTTGACTTGTTCACAATATTTTTGTTCTTAAATATTTTTTATTATAAAAATTGTATAAGTATATGTAGTATAGTTATTATGAGGTACTATATTTTTGTTTTACATTAATTGGATAGTCTACTACACTGGAAAATTTGATCCTACCCCATGGGGGATTTAACCATTGATTTCACACACATCCATGTGGGTGTGGGTGTGTGTGTGTGTGTTTATGTGTAAATCAATGGTTAAAAACTCATTGGAGCAGTGCCCACATGGGTAGGATCGAATTTTCCCTACTACTATATACATACATACATACATACATACATACATACATACATATATATATATATATATATATAGAGAGAGAGAGAGAGAGAGTTAAGTTCAAGTGAGAATAATGTTCAGTAAAAGAATATGAATAAATCTTAGTCCTTGGATCGGATGATCCGATGATAGATAAAAAAATAATAATAATAATATTTTCACATTCATTAAGGATATGTTTCATATTTTCCTATCTATACCAGTGGACCCCACTAGACCCACCAACCACCAAACTTATCACCTAATTAATTAACGTGGGCCCCACCATATCTCACCATCTATCCTCTTTCACATACAAAACACACACAAACAAAAAAGGCTCTGACACACACACACACACACAACGATCTTATATCGACTCAATTGCCTTGCCGCCGCACACACTTGCTCAGGCGCTGTCAAACCTCCGCCTGACGATCGTCCGACTACGGCCGCAATCTCCACATACATAGTATAACTCTCGTCGGCTTTCTTGCCCGGCCGACAAACTTACACAGATGGCTAGGCCTCGACTCACACAGACAATTGCTAAGGAACCGATGCACCTCCGACGACGATCGTCCATACGCGGGCACAATATCGACACCCGCACCAGACCCCCAGAAGAGCGTCCTGACCTCCGACCACCATCGCCCAACCCACAACCGACGAAGCCCTAATTTGAGGATGATTGATTTTTCACTGATAATTTTTGTTTGATTTCTCACCGTGATTCGCCAATAATTTGATATGTTGATGAAATCAAAAGCCGTAAAGCCCTAATTTAAGGTTGAAATTGCTGGAAACCATCCGACGACATGGACAAACGAGAAACTCATGTTGGGGTTGGGGGACTTTGATTTGAAAAGTAAATAAACTCCATGACTTTGGTGCAATATCAAAGATTTTAATATATTTGCAATCTAGTTCATAGGTAGAATTTACAACTTATTAAAAATTTAATAAATACACAATATTAAATGAGATATACCATATAAAATGTCTATGCGTTACATTAGAAAATATCCGTTATACGAGTGCACAATGGTGTTATACAAATTGTACGTTAATGACTGTTAGACTGCACAATATCTACTGGAACTAACCAAACTAAAATTTTCGGTTCAAATTTATATATTTCGCTCGATTATGTGGTATTAATTTTAAAATTTTGACAATTTCATTTCGATGTTGGATTTAATTGTTAACCAAATCGAAATAACCAAACCGACCGAACTATATAAAAAAATAATTTTTTGTGATGTTTATATAAGAAATTATTTTCTTCCGAACTATATAAAAAAATAATTTTCCGTTATGTTTATATAAAAAAATATTTTCTTTAGAGAAAAATATATAGTATTAAAATTCAAAATATATTTTTATAATATATATATTATAATATATTTTTTTGGTTATTTTTATTAGTTCGACTAACCGCCCGAATAAACCAATTATCGGACCGAAAAAATTAGTTCAATCGATTAAGTGCAATTTGTTAGTCATTAGTGTGCAATTCATCTAACAGTATAATGCACTTACAAAGTATAGTGCACTTACAGTGCATATATTTTTTAATAATTTGTTCCAACCCAAACTAAAATCAAATTTAAATCATCGGTAGTCGAAATACTATAAATAATATAAATAACTTAATATTTAAATTATAAAAAAATTATATTTAGTATTTTTAATATTTATATTTAATATTTATATTTTTCTAGCTGAAAATAAATAATATATATATATATATTATTTTTTATATAGTTAGTCGGTTTGATTATTTTTTGTTATTTTACAAAAATAATGCTCATATTGATCGGATATATTTGATATTTTACAAATAAAAATAGATAATCAGCCCGAAATATATGATTTCGAAACGAAATTTTTAGGTCATTCAATTTCGGTCATTATGTTCAATTCGTCTAACATTATGGTACAACTTGGTAGTTGTTAAAGTGCAATTCGTTTAACACTATTGTGCAGTCGCAGTGTATTTATTATTTATTATTATAAAACTATATTTATTATTTTAATATTTTTATATATTAAAATTTTACATATTAAAATTTTTTAAACAGTGTACCCTTTATTTATCATTAATATGCATTTATGAGATATTCCTATATTCGAAAAGAAATCTTTAGTTCATTCAGTTTCGGTCATTATGTGCAATTCGTCTAATATTATGGTGCAACTTGGTAGTCGTTAAAGTGCAATTCGTCTAACACTACTATGCAGTCGCAGTATATTTATTATTTATTATTATAAAAGTATATTTATTATTTTAATATTTTTTATATATTAAGATTTTACGTATTAAATTTTTTTAAACAGTGTACACTTTATTTATCATTAATATGCATTTATGAAATATTTCTATATTTGAAACGAAATCTTTAGTTCATTCAGTTTCAATCATTATGTGCAATTCGTCTAACATTATGGTACAACTTGGTAGTCGTTAAAGTGCAATTCGTCCAACACTTTTTGTTCAGTCTCAATGTATTCATTATTTATTATTATAAAAGTATATTTATTATTTTAATACTTTTTATATATTAAAATTTTACATATTAAATTTTTTAAACATTTCACACTTTATTTATCATTATTATGCATTTATGAGATATTTCTATAAATTACATATTTATCATGAACTAAATTAAAAAAATACTCAAAAATTAATAAAATTATAAAATTTTCCCACAACACTATCTAATTTTAAAAAAAAAATCAATGAAACCACAAATCACTAATTTGAATTTGCAAATTTATTGCACATTTGTTAAATTTTCTGAAAATTACACATTAGACAGATGTACCAAATTTAAATATATTCAAGCTTCATTTATTTGTAAATTTAGCCCATGGGCTAAATTGAAATATAAAACAAATAGGTAAATTGTAATTTAGTCCATATGAAATATCAAATTCTCAACCACAAGTCCA